AATGGAAAGGACTTTCCTGTTTTCACCACAGACTATTATTTAATATTAAAAGTTGGGCAATTCCTTGAGTTGTCTCTTATTGCTGTTCCAGCACCATTTGCTTACTGTTGTTGAATAAGATGGTCATGACCTTCATGCAGACAGAGCATTAAGGTATTGCTTGTCCCAAACAAATTAGTAGTGATATGTTTAGAAATTCCCAGCATTTGGAAAGCATACTGATAGTTATTAAAGACTTACAGTCTTTGATTAATTTCAACAAATATTTATTATATTATATGCTTTGATCGATACCAAAAGCACTACTCAGGAAATACTTCAAGGAATCAGACCACAAGACTCTTGATCTAATGTTTCTCATCTTCCAATATAGAGGAGCTAAAAGTGATAAGCTAGATGAAGAAGTAGCTATGTGTATGTCAAGGAAGACCAGGTTTACTATCTAGTGTCTGAATTGCACTTTAAAGTATGTGCTCTCAGTTTAGGACCTTATTGAGAAGCCCTATCTGAATAGGAAGTAAACAGGTAGAGGAGGCAGCTGTGAAATCACCCAAGGAAAAGTGTTCTAGACAGAGCAAAAAAGCCAGTGTGCAGTCCTTAAGAGCATGATCGGTGTCCTTCTGACCCATATGGAGATCTGTATCTAGGAAAAAACATATCTCAACTATCTTGGTTCTGGTATTAAAGTATTAAAAATGAGGTGGAGAATGTTCCTTGTTTCCTGTTCTTTGAAGGCAGCCGCATCACAATAAGGCCATCCTCTTCAAAGGATTGGTAGAAATGTTTTTATGAAGGTATAACCTTTCAGAGGACTGTTAGCTGTCTAGACTGCCTGATTTTCCAGAGCCAGTGCTCTTCTAAGAACTAGCCCATTGCATCTGAATTCACAGACAGTTCTCTCCACCCCACCTCCAAAAAGGCATAGGGATCCCACAACTATAGAAACTTGTAAAAACTAAAGTAAATTTGTACCCATAGTGGCATGCACCAGAGGCTGAGGTAGGCGAATTTCTGTGAGATCAGCCTGGTCCACATAGTGAATTCCAGGACAGCTAGGGCTATGTCGAGAGACCCTGTCTCATACAGACAGACAAACAAACAAAAAGTGCATCTATACACATACAGAAAAATTAAAATGTATTAAAATGGAGTTATCCTTTAGTGGTAATAATAACCTTATGAGAGGCTAACAAATAAGAACCCCAGTGTCAGGAATTATTTCTTCTTTTGAAATTAGAGGTTCCAGAGCCCTCCATTACAGGCTGTTGTCATTGTTCCTGGTTACCTTTCTGAACCTGAGTGACACCCTATTAAGATGGCTACATATTTGTGTCACAGAGCGTGGGGAAACCAGCTGGTACTGACCTGGAGACTATCATGGCTAGCTAGCTTTCATAAAAGTGCTGAGACTGCTTTCTGTGCTCTGGAAAAGAAAAGTAGGCCCCAGACATACCAGCTGTACACTCTTCCAGGTACAGTCATGGCTGACCTTGTATGACATGCCCACTGGTGCAGCAGTAGCACAAACATCATGGGGTAACCAACCACTTTCTGATTGGATTGAAGGAGCATACCTGGCACCATTATTGGCTGAGAACCTATGGCAGGGGTTGCTCTGCTTCGTGGACATAATAAACTGACTCCTGATGACTTTCTGTTATACCCGTAGATTAAGGAACTTCTCAGCCCCTTTACCAGAGAAGTGCTATGGGACAATGATCTTTTATCCTGTCACCTGTACTATTTTTAATAAAATGCTGATTGGCCAGTAACCAGGCAGGAAGTAGAGGCGGGGCGACAAGAATTCTGGGAAGATGGAAGTTTCAGTCTGCAGTTGTCACCCAGACACATAGGAAGCCAGACACAGAACAAGCAAGATGTGACTGATATGCCAAAAAAGGTACCAAGCCATGTGGCTAACACAGACAAGAATTATGGACTGATATAAGTTATAAGAATTAATAAGAAGCCTGAGCTACTGGGCCAATCAGTTTATAATTAATGTAGACCTCTGTGTGATTCTTTGGAACTTAACAGCTGCAGAACTAGGCAGGACAAAAACCTCAGTCAAAGAGAAGCTTCTGTCGTAAATGGGAACTTACAACAGGTCAGGTGCAAAGAATAAAATACTACAGAATGTTTAGCTTTAAAGGGAAAGTGTGTATAACACCCCAGCTCCCAAACCCAAGGGATCATTGTGGAAAGAGGCCAGTGGGAAGAGTGCAACTGAAGTGATGACCAAAAGGAACTAGTGTCTTCTGGATGGGAGGGCAGCTATGCACATGACATGTGCTTATGACAGCGTGCACAAAACCTGTTAAGTCCAAGCCAAACCAAATCCCACATGGAAAGAGGAAGTAGGCATGAGATTCTACCCTTATCTAAGGTGCTCTTGTCAGTGGTTAGCTGCTGGGAGAGGAGGAGTCAGATTTCTCTAAGAATGTAGTCCTTGGGGCTGGAGAGATGGCTCAGTGGTTAAGAGCATTGCCTGCTCTTCCAAAGGTCCTGAGTTCAATTCCCAGCAACCACATGGTGGCTCACAACCATCTGTAATAAGGTCTGGTGCCCTCTTCTGGCCTTCTGCATACACACAGATCGACTATTGTATAAATAATAAATAAATATTTTTTTTAAAAAAAGAATGTAGTCCCTGATGAGTCATCTGTGTTCCAGGGGAATGCCACACATCCAAGAATATTTGGGCAGCAAAAACTGATGTTGGCAAGTGGCAGGAGGGGTGGGGGCCAATTTCTTTGTTTGTTTTTAAAGACAGTTTTTTACTGAGGTCTGGGCTGTAACAGCTAGTCCAGCTGGCTAGCAGATCTCAGGGATTCACCTGTCTTCATGTTCTCAGCCTTGAGATTACAAAGCATGCCACACTCAGTGGTTAAGAGTATTACAAATGACCCAGGTTTGGTTTCCACATCCACATGGTAGTTCACAAACTTTCCCTAGGTCTAGTTCCATGGGAACTGATGCCCGCTTCTGGCCTTCATAGACATCAGACATGCCTGGTATGCATAGATATATGGAGGCAAAATACTCATAAACTAAAACAAATAAATCTAGAAGGAAGGAAGAAAAAAAAAAACCTCAAAGCTTGCCATAGTTTCTGGTCTTTTGTTACAGAGGTGCCATGGATCAAACTCAAGTCCTCACACCTGCGCAGCAGTTGCTTTAACCGGTTGCGGCAGTGGAGGTTTTGGATTGAAAGGGGAATGATACCAATCTGTATGGTGTTGCCTAGAAAGTAGAAATTTACAGCATAGCTGGAAGGCCAGGAAAACTGGGTTGTCTACGGTGAAGCTGTTAGAAAAATACTTCCCAGGCGTTTTTTCCAAGGGTCTCATTGGCCTAGAACTTGTCCAAGTGTGCTAGGCTAATTGGCCAGCAAGACACAGGGATCCACTCGCCTGTCCTTCCTAGGGCTAGGACTGAAAGTGTGCAGCCACAGCCAGAGTAAACCCAGATCTTTACAACAGTGCTCTCCACACTCTGAAGGACTCTAGACCTGGCCCAGATGATGAAAATCAGGCTGAACAGATGCAAAGATCAGTGTCCACCTGTGGGTATAGAGTTGTTTGCTGGGACTGTGAAGGGCTTGGATGTTCTTCATGTCAACTTATTATGTGTTAGGATACAGGAGTCTACAGCAGAGGCAAGAAGGCCTGGAGTGGATTGAAGAGAGCTGTGTTTAAACGTAGTTTGCTACATAGTTGACATGGATTAAAGCGACATGCCTATGGCCCGACTTCAGCATTCCATGGCCTTCTGAACATGCTGTGCTTCTGAACATGTCTGCTCCTGAGCCAAGGCAGTGAAAATTTTTCTTAGTTGAAGCTGTTTGCCTTAAAGTTCCCTACACTCTGTCTTCCCATGCTGTTGCACGTGACTTGTTTTTCCTGATGAAGGCTTTTTGAACTTTTCTTCCAAAGCATTTCCTTGCATTTGGATTTTTCATGTATGTATTTAGTTTAAAAGGTACTTCCAGCTAACAGGGAAGCTAATTGGCTCCCTAAGTCCATTTAGTCACTACCCTCTTTTTATTAGTATTATCATTTTAGTTTTACTTTAATTACTTTTGTTTTTTAAGTGGACTTGTGAAACATCTAGTAGTTCTTAGTTGGCAAATAATTTCTGAACAGTTGTTTACCATCTAGGCTGAGGGCATAATCTTGTTCAGGAAGCTTAATGTTTAAAGTGAAGTTTACTAATTAATTTGCTTTGTCTTGTTTTTTTAGGGATGATTTTTTAAATGGCTGTAGAAATAAGTAATTTATAAGTTGCTTCTTCGTGCAGACACCTATATAGTATCTCATCCTCAATTCACTTGGAATGTTTTATTTGCGATGCTATTTGATATGATATTTTGTTCTGAGTTTGTTTTACGTGATAGCCTAAGGAGAGAGAACAGTTATTGCAACTCTTTCTTGACAACATTTGTTAGAACTAGATTAGTTCTAACTAGATTACTCTGGGATAGAGTAGTAGGCTCTGGGGTAGAGTAGACGCTTTGGTTAGAAAGTAGGACTTTCTTTTTCAGATGGGTTATGGTTTTTATTTCCCCCCCAGAGTAGAGGTGGGGAAGGGCCCTGTATTTTATTTTTGAGCCAAGGTCTCACTTTATAGACCAGGCTTGGAATTCACTATGTAGCTCAGGCTGGCCATGAACTCAGATGGTCATTTTGCTTTCTCCTCCCAAGTACTGGGATTATAATTCTGAGCCGTTCCTGGTATCTGAAGAGACTTGGTGTCCTGTGATGGTACGTGCAGTACTCGTATTCCGGTCATGCAAAGCTAGAACTTAAGCAGTGGCCAGACTGAAAGCGCTCAGAGCAAAGGTGAAGGAGTGTCCATTAACAGGGCGGGACTATGTCAGCTCTTTTGATACACATTTGTTCACAATGGGTAGTTAGGGTGGTTTGGAAACCAGTGAGGGTGTTCAGTAGCTGACTGAGCAGTGTGCTGGAGGTTCTAACATGCCTTTCTTTCTTTTTTAGGAAACTGAAAATGGCCCTTGAGCTATGCTAGGTCTATAATGGGAAGTGTCACAGTTCGATATTTCTGTTATGGGTGCCTTTTTACATCTGCTACCTGGACAGTTCTGCTTTTCATTTATTTCAACTTCAGTGAAGTGACTCAGCCCCTTAAAAATGTGCCCATCAAGGGGTCTGGGCCCCATGGACCATTTCCCAAAAAATTCTACCCACGTTTTACTCGAAGTCCAGGTCGAGTATTAGATCCACAGTTTAAAGCAAACAGAATGGACGATTTGATGAATAATCACCTTGAAGATTCAGATAAAGGCCTCTCAAAGTCCTCTTCCGAGCTCGGTAAGTAATCATGTCTGTTCTCTTTAAATCGTGATGCCCAGGATTAGAAATGTCCTGTTTATTGTTCCCATAAGTTACATGGTTCCCATTAGATCTGTACAAGAGCTGCTGACCTTTTCAGCTATTGTGTAAAGTCTGAACCCAAAGCTCTTAGGAGCCCTTTTTATTCAAAAGCTTATGTGTGAATTTTTGTGGGGCATGGGTTTATATAAGAACTTGAGACTTTGGCCTACTGAAGTCCACTGGGATTTAATAATCCATTTCTCGTAGGGAACATTATCAGTATTTCTCTGGTCACAGATAATTTGTCTTGTGAATATAGTAAAATGCGGGGTTTTTGTTAGTTCATTTATTTGTTTTTTTGAGACAGGGTCTCACTATGTATCTAAGCTGGTCTGGAACTCCCATGTAGTCCAGGATACAGATCTGCCTGCCTCTCTCTGTCTTCTGATTGTTGGTATTAAAGCTATGTGTGCCAGCTCATAGTAAAGTGTTCTTAAAAAGAATGGTTTAGAGCAAGTTTTCCTGCTTAGGGCACACTTAGTTTGCATTAAGTTGATAATCTGTCAGCCACAGCTTACTCATTTGAAACCTGAAACTGCAGAGAGCCAATTTGAAAAACACAGTGATATAATCTGATATAATGGCGAATCAGGCTTCCGGGGATCATCACATCATAGTGGCTGTTGATCATCTTTCCAGACCTAAGACACTGACTGTAACTTCACTTTCTTTCAGGCATGATTTTCAATGAACGTGATCAGGAATTGAGAGATCTGGGTTACCAGAAACATGCCTTTAATATGCTTATCAGCAACCGCTTGGGATACCACAGAGATGTGCCAGACACCAGGAATGCAGAGTATGGTCCTTTTGGCTTCTGATGAGTTCCAATGACAGTGCTTTATCCCCAGTGAGAACAGGCAAGGGCAGTGTCCAGATTTCACACTTGGTATTTGTCATGTCAGAACAGTGACCTGATCCCACCCCCACCACTCTTGCAGCACTGTGGTCTGCAAGTGTAATGATGCAGTCTTAGAGCTGCCTGTGTCTTTGGACATTCCAACTCAGTAACCTGGACCTAGACTTCAAAAATCATTACTGCATTTATGGAAACAAGGGATTAAAACTAGTGAATTCCATATTGCTTTGTACTTTATTATTTTCTTTCTTTCAATGGCTTTTTGTTTTTCTAGTCAGTCGTTGCACAGACAGATATTTGTTGAGCACCTTCAGTTTGTCATGCAATACAAAGGCCCTGGACAGAATAAGAGGTGGCCCTAGGTTCACAGGGCTCAGTCTGTTTGGGGCAGGTGAGGAAACAAGTTACTGCAGTAGCATTAGGTAGGGCTCAGATGGGACTGGTGGAGTGGTCTCTGCAGCACAGAGAGGGTTCTGAAGTATGTGTGGCATGTTGAAGGGACCGACCCTCATCCACTCTGGCTATGGCAGGAGGTTGCAGGAGGCTGGCACTAGGTGGGGCAGACATTGGAGGGCTGTGAGGCTGAAGGAAAGAAGTCAGGACCTTGGAGTTTACTCTTCAGTAACTTTGTTGTTGCTCAATCCCACCTATCCAGTAGCTGCTGTGTCCATGGAAGCTTTTTTTTTTTTTTTCCCCCAAGACAGGGTTTCTCCATAGCTTTTGGTTCCTGTCCTGGAACTAGCTCTTGTAGACCAGGCTGGCCTCAAACTCACAGAGATCCGCCTGCCTCTGCCTCCCGAGTGCTGGGATTAAAGGCGTGCGCCACCACCTCCCGGCTCCATGGAAGCTTTTATGTCATCTGAGAAAATCACAGTTTACTCAAATCTTTTGTATGTTATTAGGCAAAAACTAAAACTTTCAAAGACAAAGTTTTATTGTGTTTCCACTTAACCTCATTGAGAAGCTGGGTATCAGCTTCAGAGTGCTACACACGCAGTAACTTCATGAAAAACAACTCACTTTGTAACTTCTACCAAAGAAAAGAAAGCACATTTTAAAGATAACATTACTAACGTGATGTAAAGCAAACAATTAGTTGCAGTGTTTTCGTGAATGCCTAAAACCCGCTGTCATGCCAGAAAGAAGATGAGCAAGATGGTAGGAAATGGGCCAAGACATCTGAGACTCTTAAAATATCAGATTTTCTTGTATTGATTGTTAAAGGTGTAGAGAAAAGTCCTACCCGACTGACCTCCCAACTGCTAGTGTTGTTATCTGTTTCTATAATGAAGCCTTCTCTGCCTTGCTGCGGACTGTGCACAGTGTTGTGGACCGCACGCCAGCACACATTCTTCATGAGATCATCCTTGTGGATGACAACAGTGACTTTGGTAAGTGTTGCTGTGAGTGGGCACAGTTCACTAGGGTTCCTAGTCACTGTTGGTGCAGCCACAGCTGAGCTTCCAGCCTGCCCATTGATTATAGAATGATAGGATGATTTTGCTGAAGTCCTTTGTCTTTATAGTCTGTTCTCAGTGTTACCAGATTTGCCCCTGGGGAATTTCCCCTTGGCTTGCTTTTAAAAATGTCCATTATGAATTAAGCTCAGATTCATAGGAAGTTCTCAAGACTTCCAGTTGCACTTTGACCAATTTCCCACGCTGATTCTTTTTTTTATATATATTTATTTATTATGTATATAATATTCTGGCTGTATATGCCTGTAGGCCAGAAGAGGGCGCCAGACTCCATTACAAATGGTTGTGAGCCACCATGTGGTTGCTGGGAATTGAACTCAGGACCTTTGGAAGAGCAGGCCATGCTCTTAACCTCTGAGCCATCTCTCCAGCCCCCCACGTTGATTCTTTTATACTTAGAATACAGTGTAGAAAACAGAATTGCACAGTGGAGAATTGTCAGTTTATCCTGTAGGAAGATTGTTGTTGTTAGCACCATCAGAGTCTTGAGCACCCAGCAATCCTGGTGCTCCCAGGTGCTCTGTGACCTTCCTGGCATCTGGTGACCTTTTTGTCATTTCAAAAGTGTAATATAGATGGATATGTAGTATGTGCCCTTTGGAACTGGCACTTTTTACTTGGCCCAGTGCCGTGTACCATGCTTCTAGAGTAAGTCAGCTACATCAATTGTTCCCAGAGTGGACTGCATTCAGAAAGCTCTTAAATGTTATCTGAATGCCAGTTTTCTGAGAATCACTATGTATTTTACATGCCTTTCTTTAACTGTCAGTTTTAGCAAAGAAAAGCTTTCTATTGTTTGTTCCCATTCAGCCCTCAACCTCCCTTAAGCTGCGTGGGGATCCATTTTACAGAGATGGAGATGGAAGAGTACAGATAATTTTGAGTAGGTAGAGTTGAGGTTATACTTAATCTGCCTGGCTTCCAGCCTTTTCCCTTTAGCACAGCACTGCAGATCCAGTGATGGGGTGGGACGGAAACATTTTCCATGCACTCAACAACTTTTTAGACCGACAGCTTCAGTGGAGCTGCATACCAGTATATGAATGAACTGATGAATGAACACAACCCGTGAGACCGTAATACTCAAACCTGGCTAAATATAGAAACTTTATGGGAGAAAGTTTGGGAAGGTTCATAGACATCAAAACTTAGCCTTTTGTGTGTTTGTTTTTTTCGTTGTTTTTGAGACAGGGTCTTTCTTTGTAGTTTTTGTTGTTCTAGAACTATGTAGAACCAGGCTGGCCTTGAATTCACAGAAATCAACCTGCCTCTGCTACCCAAGTGCTGGGGTTAAAAGTGTGCAACACCACATCTAGCTTTTTTTCTCTCTCTCTTTCTTTTGACAAGAACCTCTCTTTGTAGTCTAGGCTGGCCTCAAGTTGACTATCACGCCAAAGTGGACATTGAATTCCAGTCAAGAGCCTTCATGTATGACTTCATTTTAGATATTGTCTATGGAAACACACATCTAAGGCAGCTATTCCTCTTGGCTAGTTCCAACTTTCACTCTGGGTTTCTTTTTTCTCCTACGGAGGATGTTAGGATGTTTTACAATGAG